GGGGGGGGGGGGGGGGGGCGGCTTGTGATGAGGGCCACCTGTTACAGGGCCAGTGCCACGTGAGGGCGGCCGGGTCAGGAGTAGACCCGCGTGGAGGGCGGACTGGAGACCCCCTTCGTTTGGGGTCGGGGGATGGCTCTGAGGATTTCGAGCTGCTTCTGTGCATCGACGTGGGCGCATCTCTTGGCCAACAAGAGACACTTTGGCACAACACCCACCTGCAGTGTTTTAAAGAATATCCCATACGCGCCCAGAGCCGGGGAAGGCTGGCCCTGGGTCGGGGCGCATCCGGGTGGGCGTCTCAGCCACATTTTCCCTCTAGGGCCCAGGCTGCACCGGCCGCAGGATCCTTCTGGTAGAAGGTGGGAAATGGATTCGGGGCGCATGGGCCTGGGTCACCCACGTGGCTCGGGGCGCCCGCACTCGCTTTAAGCGCCGGGGCAGCGGGGTCCCGGGAACACAGCCCAGAGGAGCTGGCGGCCGCCCCCAGGCCAGCACATTTAAGAAAGGGGTGGAGGAAAGGGAGGGACCGCCGGGGTGGGGGGAGGGACGGAGGGAGAGAGGCGACTTACTTCCTTAATCGCCTGCAAACCCCAGGACGGGTGGCGCGGGAGCTCGGCCCGCTCTGCGCGTAATAACTTCGTATAGCATACATTATACGAAGTTATACGATGGTATCTGAACTTGGCTTTGAAGGGATTTTTGGGGGGAAGAATTGGCAAAAGCAGAATTCCAGGCTGATAAAACAAAATCTGAATGTGTCTGGTGAACAAGGGGAATTTCTAGAAGTTAGAAGTGAGTAGAAATATTTGTAAGAGTGAGTTTTATTAAATTCTGAGGGTTTTTGCTCCCTGTGGCCCAGGTACCATAGAAACCTAAAGGTCGAGTGCAGGTCCTATGCTCTGTGAGCACTGTTGTGTTTTGGGATTTTTAGGCCTAGGAGCCTTCTTTATCAGGAAGACAGAGAGATTTATTCCCAGCATGAAGTTTACAGGTATATTATTTGGGAGGTGATCTGTGGTCACTGAAGTCTGGGGTGGAGAACCTGACTTCTTGACCAGTGTCATGCCCTTTTGGTTTTGGGAACAGACAGGATGAATGGGGAACAGGGAACTGTCCCCCTGCCAAAGGGGAGGTCAGGGATGAACCTTAATGGAAGAACGTTCTATTACCAAGGTCAAGTGGGTCGCCCCCGGGGCCGGTCCCGGAGGGCCTGATCCGCGTCTACAGCATGAGGTTCTGCCCTTATGCTGAGAGGACCCTGCTGGTCCTGAAGGCCAAGGGAATCGGGTGAGGACCGAGGCGGGGCGCAACCCTAGCGGGACCGAGCGCTGCTGCGGGCGGCGGGGGTGGGGATCTCGGATAGCGCCCCCCGGATCTCCTCTGCCGCCAGATACTCTCAGCCTTTGGGGGGACACAGCAAGTTACAGCCCCTCTCCCCACCATTCTGGGACGCCTCATTTAGATTAAACAACCATTTGATAGGTTAGAAAAGCTGAGGCTCCAGTAGAGTTACTGGCAGCAGCTCTTTTAGCTCTGGTAGGACCCTGATTCCTGGTCCGGTGTCCTTCGCTTTCCCAACTACTCGTCTCCATTCTTGTCCGGCATAGTCTGTACTGTTCATTGTTATACTGAATACGTGGTCTCTCCTGGAATAGTAATTTACGACAGTACAGAGTTCAGACTTTGACCCTCCTCGCAGACTGCTGAGTTATTTCACGTGGATCAGGTTGTTGGTTTAGTAAGAAAAAAGGAAGTGTCTGTGCCTAAAAATTCAGGCGTAAGAGAAGCCTCATTATTGATACCAGCATAGTTATTAACCTATGGGTTGCCCACAGGAATATGCCAGATCACCTGGCATTTCTCTCTTGCCAAGTATCGATTGGAACCAACTCCTTTCCAATGACCTTTGGAATATTTTTGACAGACATTTATTAGATACTTGGGATGCAGAAGGCTCTGTGGAAGTTTAAAGCACAGCCCCAGTTCTTAAGGAATTTTTCATCTATGTGCTCAGAGTTTGTAAACTAATTATAGTCTTCTAGGGGGAGAATTGGTTAGGCAGGCAATTCTTTTCCCTAAAATAAATGGAAGATGAAATCAAAAGAAAAAAATTATTTTTGGATTAGCCATCACTTCACTAAGATATGCATCTATCTCATTTGTATAAAATTGTGATTCTAAACACATAGCAAAATACTTACTATTTAGTAACGTTTACCCAAAGCACTGTATTATTTGCTGTATTAGTTAGAACTCGTTTACTGCAGGTAAGAGAAAACTAATTCAAACTGGATTAACATTTCTTGTACTCATATAATTGAAAAGTCCTTAAGCAGGACACAGCTAGATTCAGGGGCACAAAGTCCTGGGTTATGTGCCTCCCTCTGGAATTCCAGATTGAAAACAACCTTACTGTATTTACTGGGACAGTTTTCCAAAGGAAAATTGAAATTATTTTACCTTAATAGTTGGGGGGTGGGGGGAAGAGGGGGAGTTAGTAATAGCTACTAACAGCAAACAACAGGAGACTACTACATTCATGGATCAGTTTTAAGTTTGAACCCCAGGATACTTTTATTGGAGAAGTACTAGATTTTTACCACAAAATATAACCTCATAGAACATGGTTTTCTCTATAAGGTGCATCTTCCAACTTGTGGCAGGTGTGCCACTTTACTAAAATGCATGTATGTTCCGAGACTTCTTTATCACAAAAGCCCAGAAGCTACCTTTTGTTTTCATAGCATAAATTTTCAGAAATGTTGATTCTTTGGCAGGGGCTTTGTTTTTCTTGCAATGGCTGGTAGCTGAATCCAGTGTTCTATCAGCACATGAACCTTTTTATAGGTACACATATGCTAGTGTTCAAACAGGCTATTCCCTTGTTTCCTTGGATTACATATTTAAATTCTCAAGCTAAATGCTGTCCTAGCTACTGCTGTGGAAGGGGAAATGGGAAACAAAAGGTGTTCATATATATTATTGTTGAGTAATCTGTTCTATTGAACACTTACCGAGCTTTGACAATCATACAGACCAGGCTTAAATAATTATATGATACTTCCCTTTCTCTTATTTCCTCTACAATCTTTCAGGCAAGATATAAGATAGATCTAATTACAATCTGAATATAGCCTGGACTTCACCTTTTTGGTTTACTGTATAATTTACCCATGCAACATTTTTGGCTTGGTGTCGCCCGCACCGCGTTCAGCCAGTTAGCGCACCGGCCAGCCCTATATAGGATCCGAACCCGCGGTGGGAGCGCCGCTGTGCTCCCAGCGCGGCACTCTACCGAGTGAGCCGCAGGGTCGGACCCCCATGCAACATTTTTTAAGACATATCAACACATGGAGATTTAATCTGAAAGTTTATTTCACAGGTGGATTTTTAGGATTGCTTAACATCCTTGTAAAAAGCAAGGAACTTTTTATTCAGATTAGCAAAGTTAATTGAATTTTGTCATGTTGATTCTTTTTTTTTAAAAAGATGACTGGTAAGGGGCCTTAACCCTTGACTTGGTGTTGTCAGCACCACGCTCTCCCGAGTGAGCAAACCAGCCATCCCTATATAGGGATCTGAACCTGTGGCCTTGGTGTTATCAGCTCCACACTCTCCCAAGTGAGCCATGGGTCAGCCCATGTTGATTCTTATATAGTGGGCAGTGGACACAATTTGACTAGTTGTCTCATGTAATTTACAGTTAAGATGCCTCTTAGCCAAAAAGTAATATCTTATTGACAATTTTGAAACATTTCTATTTATTTATTCGTTCCACAAATACTTACTGAGTCCTTATCTGAAACTATTTTTATTTTCTTCATAGCATTTATATCTATTTAATGTTTTGCTCATTTATGTGTTGTTTAATATGAACAAGACACATAGGATCCCTGCTCTCATGGAGGTTGCATTCTAAGGAGGTGACTTAATAAATGTGTAAATAAATCAGCAAGTAATTTCAGATACATATTATCAGTTCAGTGAAGAAAGTAAAACAAGATGATCATGTAATAAAGAGTCTGCTCAGCAACTTCAGAGCAGTGGTCAGGGAGGGCCTCTCTGACGATGTGGTGTCTGTCCTGGGAAGACCTGGGAGAAGACAGGCAGAGAAGAAGGCAGAGGAACAGCAAACGCCAAGACTCTGAAGTGGGAACATGTTTGGCAAATTCAAGGAATATGAAAAAGGTCAATATGTAGAAGAAAACATAGGGGAAAAGCTTCATAACATTGGTCTTGGCAATGATTTCATGGATATGATACCAAAGCACAGGCAACAAAAACCTCAAATGAAAAAGCTTCTGCACAGCAAAGGAAACAAATGATCAACAGAGTAAAACGGCAACCTGTGGAATGTGTGAAAATATTTGTAAACCATATATCTGGTAAGAGGGTAATCTCCAAAATATATAAGGAACTTCTACAACTCTATAACAAAAAAACTAAGCACCCAGTCAAAAAATGGGCTAAGGACTTGAACAGACATTTCTCCAAAGAAGAAATACAAATGGCCAACAGGTATATGAAAAATGCTCATCATTACTAGTCATCAGCGAAATGCAAATGAAAACCACTCTGGGGGATCACCTCTCACCTGTCAGGTTGGCAGTAATAATAATAATAATAATAATAGACAAGAAGTGTTAGTGAGGATGGGTAGAAATAGGAACCCTTAGACACTGTTGGTGGGAATCCAAAATGGTACAGCTGCTGTGGAAAATAGTCTGGAGGTTACTCAAAAAATTAAAAATGGAACTACCTATGATCCAGCAATCCTACTTCTGGATATATATCTGAAAGAATTGATATCGGGATCTTGAAGAGATATTAGCACTCCCATGTTCACTGCAGCACTATTCACGATAGTATGATGCCAGTGTCCATTGACAGATGAATGGATAAAGAAAATGCGGCACATACATACAATGGAATACTATCCTGCCTTTAAAAAGAAGGAAATTCTGCAATATGTGACAACATGGATGGATCTTGAGGACATTATGCTGAGAGAAATAAGTCAGACACAGAAAGCCACATACTGCATAAGTCTGCTTATAGGAGGTATCTAAAATAGTCAAATTTATAAAACCAAAGACTGGAAGGAATCAAGGCAGAATTGACTCCTAAAATTGAGTTCTGATCAGCTAAGCGGATGGTAGAGCCGGTGATGATTAATTCAGAAACAAAAAAAATTGGTTCACTGCCTTCATAGTTTTTTTGTCTTTCAGGCATGAAGTCATCAATATCAACCTGAAAAATAAGCCTGACTGGTTCTTTAAGAAGAATCCCCATGGTCTGGTGCCAGTTCTGGAAAACAGTCAGGGTCAGTTGATCTACGAATCTGCCATCACTTGTGAGTACCTGGATGAAGCATATCCAGGGAAGAAGCTGTTTCCAGATGACCCTTATGAGAAAGCTTGCCAAAAGATGGTCTTTGAGTTATTTTCTAAGGTGCGTGTATAAGAAATTTCAGTTCCTATTTGAAAACCCTCCCCCTTTTTTAAAGCTAAATCAGTGCTGTCATTTATGGTTCAGTAATTTGGGAGAGAAAAATAGGAATATGCTTGTTCAGCTTGACATGTCCAGCACGTTCTCTCATGATCTGGTTTCTGTTTATCTCTCCAAAGTTATCCCTTTTTGCTCTTCTCTGGGCACTTCATATTCCAGCCCTACTCAACTTTTTGTTTTTCCAAACTCACCATCTTCTCTCTCAGCTTTTACTGGAATATTCTTCTCTTCTCACTTTGCCTGGTTATCTTCCAGTCAATTTTCATTTATCTACTCGTACACTGCTGCCCTTCAGAACCTTGTCGGGGCTGGTTAGTGCTCTAGCTTTATGTTCCCATGTATGCTAACTTCTCCCTGCCAAGGCATGCGGCCCAGGTAATTGCCTGCCTTTTTGCCTGTGTATTGCACTGGGAATATGAGCTCCTGGAGGGGGAGAGCTGTATTTTGATCACTGCTGGTTCACTGCCTAGGCTTGTGATGGGCTCTGCCAGTTTTTAGTTGTGTGACTCTGAGCAAGTTACCTGCTGTTTTACTTAACTGTACCTTAGTTCATCAGACACAATATCTGTTTTCACCTTATAAGGCAATAATCAGTTAATATAAAGCACCTAGAGCAGAGTCTGATACATAGAAACTACTCAGTGTTTGCTCTTGTTATAGCCACAGTGTCTATAAATGAGTTCTACTGTGTGTTGGCAATAACTCTTAGCTGACTGAATAAATAGCATACCTGTAGAATTGTTTGTATCTTAATTACCATCAGTGTGGATTAGTTAAAATAAGTAGTAGTAACAAAGAAATGACCAACAGATGTGTGTTTAGATGTGAGAATAGCAACATCCAGTTATCTTGTTACCTTGGTAGTATTATTGGCATATAAAGGAATAGTTTGCCTCTAGAGAAAGAAATGGTTAAAAAAATACCTAGAATATGGGAGAGACTTACAGGGAGAATGTATTGTTTTAGGAGATGTTGCAAGGGCTGAGGAAGGTAGAGGGCTTAGTAAGCTTAGCCCTGGCTTAGTAGGATGAGGGTAAAAGAATAGTAGAAGTGTCTGCCTTCAAAGCTGTTGTAAAGGAAATATGGAATTTACAAAAAATGTTGGAGAGTTTAAAAACTAGTAACAAGAGATTCATTGTACTGTCTAGAAAGAAAATGAGCTTGAAAAGTAAAGCGGAAATGCCCACCATTACTTCCCTGTTCACTTTCAGGAAAGAGGTGGCCTTATGGACTAAATGGCCTTGCTCTGGCCGCAGCTCACTAGGATAGAAATGTACTCCACTCCCATTCCCAATCATCTTCTCTCCTGGGAACTTGGAAATGAGACACAAACACTAAGACAGTACGGATGTTAAGCTTTAGTGTTGCATATACTTTAGTGTTGTATATATCATTGGAGACTTGAAAATCAAAGGCATGTAAAAAATAAATTTTTAGGAAAACAGAGCTTAAGAACACTTCAAAGGGAACTAACATATTGTAAATAATACGGGGAAGATATGTAAGGAAAAACAAGAGATGAAAGACCAGGCAGGCCCAAAAGGAAATGTGGACAGAGGGGCTGCCTGTAAACCTTCAGTTCCAACAAGAGCAAGCTGTACTGATATAGATGGAGTTTTATGAGATTCTTCTGTGTTTTTTAAGTCCTTGTTTATTTAAAGTGGTATGAGTGGACTTCTGTCTCTTGCAATGAGATGATAACAAAGACTGAGGTATTAAATGACACAAACACCTCTACCACAGCATGAAAGCATCCAGCACTGCTCTCATAAGTCTTAGCAGGTCGTCAGTCCCTTTTGAACAGTCTGCTCATGTCCACCCAAGGTAGAAATCAGAGAAATTCTCTTCTCCAGCTCCCTTTGCAGCCAGGGCCAAGGCTTGTGACCTAGGCTCTTCCTGTCAGACACACGTGGTAGAATTCAATTCAGAAATGAGCAATGTAAGGAAATGGACTTTGTGTGGGCCACTGGTTCTGGGTGGGGAGAAATGTGGCAGAGCTTCTGGCTTTCAGGAGTACTGGCAGGTGGAAGATGAAATTCCAGAGTAGAAGTGGTATTAGTGTGGGTGGCCTCAGTAGACCCCAGAGCTCACTTTCTGGCAGCAGCAGAAACTGTACCATGTCGTGCTCGGCAGTGGGTGCTGCCCATCAGGCTAGTTTTCACAGTGATTTTGGCATATTCCACCATAGTTCCAAGCCTATTTATTTGTTCAGCTTCCCAACAATTCTATGAGCCACTCAATGTCCTTTTAAAGAATTTTTCATCTCAAAAGCGCCAAAGTGGGTTCTATTATTTGCAACTTACAAAATCCTGACCAACATAGCATCTAACAGTGTCTAAGATCAGTCTATGACTTCTGTGAACACAGGAACTTAGTGCACTCGATGTTTCTAGAACACCTGGACACCAGGACTATGAGGTTTCTCTCATGTTTTTATGTGAGGGGGCCAATACAGTTAGCCTCAAACTGACAAACTAAGAAATTATTCTCTGTCTAGGTACCATCTTCATTTTCAAGCTTTATTAGAAATCGAAATAAGGGAGACTGCTCTGGCCTGAAAGAAGAATTACGTAAAGAATTCAGCAAGCTGGAGGAGGTAATCTTTTCTCCTAGCCGCTATCAAGTAAATGATACACTATATCTACCCTCCTTTTCCTTTTTCTCTTTTCTTCCTACTCCCATTTCCCAAGTCATTTGGCAATTAGAAATAATACCAAATTAAAAGTTTTAGTTAACAGCAGATTGCTATAACCTGTTCTATTTAAGATATAAACCACATCACTTAAAAATGCTTTGTCATGGGCTTGCTTTTAAAATACTGTGTTGCATTCACATTAAAATAACAAGAAAAAAATCATACCAACATTGCCACAATTTTTTGTCTGATTCTATTTTTCCATGCTTGTTTGCAGTCCTTGTCCATACTTTTTAAAAAATAATTTAACATGATTATAATCAGAGCATAGATGTTACTCATGTTCTTTTTTCCCACTTAACATTATATAATAACCATTTCTCATCACAAAAAAGTTTGCCATGAATCATACAAACACTTAGGGAAGCCCAGTTGTGTTTTACCTTCATTTGGGGAGAGCTGCTATTTCAGTGTTTAGAGAGAGTCTTCCTCTTGATCTTGAGATATTCCACTGACACTAAGCCTGCAGTTTTTACTGACAGAAACCTAGTTCCTGTCTTTTATAGGAATGCATCCTAACATTTTATCTGTAAGTATGAAGTTTGCTGTAGTTTTTTTCAGAAACCTTTGTTAAGAAAGTTCTCTTACTAGTTTGCTAATTTTTAAAAAAAGTCATGAATGAATGTTAAATTTTATTGAATTTTTTTGCATCTGTTACATCTATCAAAATATTCATAGGATCTTTTCTCTTGAATCTGGTGAATATGGTGTTATTGACAGATTTTTCTGGTGTTGAACCATCCTAGCATTACTGAGATAAAACCTACTTGTTCTCAATGTTTTTCTGTATGTACCATAGAATTAGTTAAGAATTATAGGATTTTTATATATGTGTTTATAAATGTGACTGGCCCATAATTTTCTATATCATCTTTATTTGCTTTGGTATCAAGGATGTTGGGTAACTTTACCTATTTTTCCAATCTCTGAAACCATTTGATAGGGATTGACTGTTTCTGTAAAACATTTGAGCATGGTGTCTTTAGTGGGGGTAGAGTTTTCATTACCAGTTTAATTTCTTTAGCAGTAATTGATTTGGAGGGGTTTACATTTCTTCTTGAATCAATTTTGGTAATTCACATTTTTCTGCCAGACAGTTGGGGAGCTGGAAAGTAATATGCAGCCCATATTCTTCAGATGATTACAGTTTAGGAGTAGACAGAAGACAAATAATCAGGTAGATATAAACAATCAATTTACAATGCATAACCTTATGTGAGAAAAACTATGTAGGTTATTTATGAAGGGAAAATTGGTTTGGTGTAGGTTTAATTAGCCAGATAATATTCTCAGTTCCCCCTTTGGCAAAACCTAATACCAATTCACCTTCTTAAATTTCAGAAACATATGAGGGTACTTCAAAAATTTTGTGGAAAAATAGAATTAAAAGATCATATGAATTTTTCAATAAACTTTTTGACGTACCTTTGTGCTTGATTTTTAAATAATTGTCGTCTGTTTAATAGTTAATCCAGTCTACTTCCAGTATATTTTAAATACAGATGCTCCTCCACTTACAGTTGGGTTACATCCAGATAAACCCATCATAAGTTGAAAATATGCTAAGTCAAAAATGTATTTAATGCACCTAATCTACCGGACATCATAGCTTAGCGTAGCTTACCTTAGACCTGCACAGAACACTTATACTAACCTAAAGTTGGGTAAAATCATCTAATGCAAAGCCTATTTTATAATAAAGTGTTGAATATCTAATGTAATTTATTAAATACTGATAGCATACTGTATACTGTAGAGTATCGGTTGTCTACCCTCATGATCACGTGGCTTACGGGGAGCAGCTGCTCACTGCTGCTGCCCAGCATTGCGAGAGAGTATCTACCCTCCTGGAAAAGATCAAAATTGAAAATTAGAAGTATAGTTTCTGCTGAATAATTTTGCACCATAGTAAAGTTGAAAAATTGAAAGTCAAACCATTACATGTTGGGGATTATCTGTACATTTTTTATTGAAAAATTACATGCAGAGAAGTACTCAGAGTATAAGAGTACAACTTGATGAATTTTCACAAAGTGAACACAGCCATGGATCCAGAACCCATATCAAGAAACAATATTAGTTTGAGCTGTTTTTGTACTTTACACAAATGGAATCATGTAACATGTACTCTATGGGTCTGGCTTTTTTCACTCAATATGAGGTTTTTGGGGTTCATCTATGCTGTGTATAGTTCCTTCCTATTCTTTGTATAGTGTTCCAAAGTATGACTGTTCCACAATTTATCCATTCTACTTTTGACAGACTAAACATTTCCATGTTTGGGCTATTACAAATAGTGCTGCAGTGAGCATTCATGTACATATTTTTTGATGAATGTAGGTTGCATTTCCAAGTAGAATTGCTGGGTTATAAAGGATGCATACTGTCAAAACATGGTCGTACCAATTTACACTATGGACAGCAGTGGTTCCACCCCCTTACTTACTTTGTCTTATTTATTTTAGCCATTCTGATGAATATATATTGGTATTGCATTTTGGTTTTAACTGATAACTAGGTGCTCAGATGAACACCTTTTCAAATGATTATTGGCCATTTTAGATGTGCTCTTTTGTGAAGTTCAAATCTTGCTCATTTTTCTAATGGGTCATTTGCCTTCATTCTTGATTCCTGGGACTTCTATATTTTGAATACCAGTCCTTTGTATTACAAAGATCTTGTACTTTGTGGCTTGTATTTTTCTCCATTTTCCAATTTATTTTGTTGATTGTTTTTGCTTCAGCTCAGACCAAAGATTCTAAAGCTTAAACTGATTAAACAGACAAAAACCCAACTTATACCAGGGTAAAAGCTGCTGCTCTCACCTGCTCTTAATTTGCCTTCATCATTTCTGATGATGAGTCTTATGAGATCCATAAATGATAACTACTCGTGCTGTTTAATGTTCAGGTCCTGACTAATAAGAAGACGACGTTCTTTGGTGGCAATTCTCTCTCCATGATTGATTACCTCATCTGGCCCTGGTTCGAACGGCTGGAAGTACTGGAGTTAAATGAGTAAGATATGGATATTTTGTGTATAGTATATAGAATAATAGTTGGAATATAATATATGTTGACCTTTTCTTTGAACAAAAGTTAAGATATTTAATGTAACTGGTATGAGTGTGAACAAGCAGACAAGAGGAGAGTCTTGGACTATCCAGGGCATCTCATATATCTGCACTCACTATTCCTTCCCATCCCTGGGGACAGGGCATTTCTGTGACAAATAGTAAAATGTTTCAAATTTTACTCCTTCCTTCCTGGTTAAAAATCCATAAGGATTTAAATTTTTATAAGGATGTTGTTGCAGGATTGTATGACTTTCCATTTACCAGTAAGATTTCCATAGTGTTTGCCAAGCTCTGTTTTGAGTTTAGCAGCCATGTTGCCTTACTTTCACTTCTTACAGCTTAAAGTTATTCAGGGTTACTTTTAGTCACATATGTGTGGAATATACTATAAAGCAAATATACTTCACAGGGCCTTGTTTTCCAAAGCCTTGCAGTTTCAAATATTGACCTTGCGGAGGACTAGAAATTTTCCTCAGTCTATAAAGTCTCTGGTGTAAGGTAAAGATTTGTGGCACAGCAAGGTTGCTGGCTCAAGGACAGACTAGTTACTGATTTTTATGTAAAAATACTGAGAAAGTGTTGTAAGATCACTTAATTGTCTAATGGAATGTCATCTGATTTGTTTCACTGAAAGTTACCAGCCTATATTGTTAAACTACAACCCCACCTATGTTCTCTTCCTGTAACTTCCTGGTCTGGAAAATAAATGCAGGAAGAGAACCCCAATTCGGGGTTAATTTTCCCAAGGAAGGGATGCCTCTCGCTGGAGGGTCCCGGGAAAGTTAACCACTTTGGGGCTTCTCACAGCTCAGAAGAGATGGGCTTTGAGTAATCCTTTGTGGCTCTGTCACCCAGGGGAAGTGGGGTGACAAATCCGTGGGAGGCAAAGCAACACATCTGGCCATAGAATAATTAATATATAACATTCTTGATTGCCTTTCAAATTCTCATTTTAGAAAGTTATCAGCCTTTCAGTTTGGACAAGTTCTCACGCTAACTGAGCTGGTCACTTAATTCTAGTCTCAGATTCATCTTTCCTAAAACAAAGACCTCTACAATATCTTTAAAATCTAATATTCTATGATTATGTGCATTTTAAAGAAATATTTTATTTATTTATTTATTGTTTTTTCTTTTTTTTTTCCTTTTTGTCTTTTTTACTGACCAGTAACGGGATCGCAACCCTCGGTGTTGTGCCCGCACCGCGCTCAGCCAGTGAGCGGGAACCAGTCTCCACATGGGATCCAAACCCTCGGCTCGTATAACTTCGTATAATGTATGCTATACGAAGTTATTACGAACCTTGTCGGGGCTGGTTATTATTTATTTATTTATTGTTTTTTCTTTTTTTTTTCCTTTTTGTCTTTTTTACTGACCAGTAACGGGATCGCAACCCTCGGTGTTGTGCCCGCACCGCGCTCAGCCAGTGAGCGGGAACCAGTCTCCACATGGGATCCAAACCCTTGGCGGGAGCGCCGCCGTGCTCCCAAGCGGCGCACTCTCCAGTGCGCCACCGGGCCGGCCCGTATTTATTGTTTTTTCTTTAAAGAAATATTTTTAAAAAGTTAGAGAAAGACAATGAAATGGCAGAATGACGATGATGATATGTGCAAGACTTTGTGATGCCATCCTAGTTAACCTAGTTCATACCTTCTATTCTTTCCTCCTCCCACAGGTGTGTAGACCATACTCCAAAACTTAAGCTTTGGATGGCAGCCATGAGGAAAGATCCCACAGTATCAGGTCATCTCATTGATGTGAAGACCCATCAAGGTTTCTTCGATCTCTACTTACAGAATAGCCCTGAGGCCTGCGACTATGGGCTCTGAAGGGGGCAGGAGTCGTCAATAAAGCTTTGTCCGATATTTTCCTTCACTAATGTGAATACTATTACATGCTTTTACCTTACCAAGTACTCTCAGGTTTCATTGGACCATCTTCTCTTACTGATTTAACATCATGACCTAACTGTGGGGTCTCCTCAAGGCCCTCCTACACAAATGTAAATGCAGTTCCTGTCTCAGAATGCTCAAGTGATTCTGAGGGTCCTATCCGTCTAGCTGAAACCCCCAAATTATCATCTCTAGCGAGATCCGGATCTAGATTTCTAACTGCTCATAGGAAATTTCCACTTGTATGTAATTCAAGGGATGCTCTCTCAAGTTTCTTGTCTTTGGTTTCTGAGTAGAAAAACTTTATTCTTTCCTTCCCATCATCAACTTAATTTCACTCTCTCTCTTATTCTTATTGTTAACTGCCCCCCCACCCCCCAAAAAAAACCCCAGATCCACATTGCCTTGAAGCTAGGCGTCTGGGTAGGCTCCTGTTTGGTCTCCCAGTCTCCAAACCCTTCAAATCTTTCCTACCAAATCCCATGCTGGGCACACAGTGGGTATCCTATTTATGTGAATACTGTGGAGACCACATCAGTTAATTCAGTATATAAGGCTGGATAAGTAATAGGTAATATCCCCATTGAGAAATATTAATGCCATCTTCCACACATTTCCGTAGCCCACTGGGTTTCTATTTAATTTTTACTGTCACATCACCTCCTCCGTGAGAAGATAGGTAGGAAAGCATCATTTCATTCTACAGATGATGCAACTCAGGTCCCAAGGTTACGTGAAGCCTGAAGGTGCTGGCAGTAAGACCCGGAGAACACACCCAGCACACTGCTCTTACCCTCAGGATTTGGGGGCTCCCGCCCCACCCCACAGTCTGGTTTTCTGTACTTGCTGGTGAGGAAAACCACTGAATGATTAGTTCTTAAGCGTGCACCACCATCGCCTACGGCTCACGGATTCGGTAGGCCTGGGGTGGGCTCCCCCGCCCCACGGTGATGCAGGCGATGTGGGGGCCGCGCCCCGAGAGCCCGCCGAGGACCGACTGACTTCACAAACGGCCTTCGGCCGCCACCAACGCCGCGGCCGCCAGCACTAGGCCCCGGTGGCTCCCGCAAGATCCCCAGTCGGATGTGGAGCAGGTGGCCGCGGTGCCACCGCCAACCACTACCCGGCTCACTCTTTCGCCAGCCACGGACACTGGCTAGAACCCACAGCTCCGGTCTCTAAGAGTCCGTAACGCGGCCGCCCATTGGCTCGGCTCCGCACTGCTTGGCAGGCGCTTCCAAAAGCTTTGAGGATTGGCGGAAGCTCCGGGCGCCGCGGCCAGTTGACGGGTAGGATTGCGTAGAAAGGGGCGGGCCCCGCCCGGGCCCCGCCTCTTCTCCCCCTAATGCGGCCGCCGCCCCCCATCCGGTTCCGTCCCTTCCGCGCCCGGAGGTCCCTGGAGGACACCTCTCCTTTCACTTCCACCGGCTGGGTGGGTCTGGCCTGCGTTGCTTTTGAAAGGAAGAGGGGTTTGCGGTCAATTCTGAGCTTTGGGGTTTTCACGAGTTTCGGGGCCTAGAACAGGGTTGCCAACTTTTAATTTTGCCTAAAACTTTAGGAGAAAGCCCGACCCTTTAACCTTCCCCAACGTTTCATCAAAGAGTTTAACATCAAAAAAAGTACAAGGGTTATAATCTAAGAACAGGTCTTTAAACAGAACACCTTTAACTTAAATAGTTATAATTTTTCTGATTTGGCTGAAGACAGGCGAAGACCACCCCAGTTCTTAGCCCTGCATGGGGCACCGCTGGTTTAGCTACATCACAAAGTAGGGCACTGGCAGGCAGGGCAATTTGGCCTCCGGGAATGTCCTGTCTTTGTGAAGACTGTGAAAGTCTTCCTGATAAATTCCAATAAAGATGAAAATAATAATAACTAATGTTGAATGGTTACTAGGTAACAGCCACAAGCTAAGTATTAAATGCTTCTCCAGTGTCGGAATTAAACCCCAAACCATGTGATGTATTGGTACTATAGTTACAAATTACAGATAAGAATACTAGGGCATAGAAAGTTGTCTGAATTTGCCCAGAGTCACCCAGTTAGTAAATGCTGGAGAGGAGATTCAAATTCAGCCTGAACTAAGTCAGTTAAGACCGGTCTTGAGATGCGTTTACCTGCTGTTTCTGCCCCAGTCTCTTTTTATTCAACAACTCTTAGCACTTAGAGGTTGAGCCAGGAGAGGGTAATAACTGCCTTTCTGACAACACCATTCTTATGCCTGGGATTTAACAAGAGGTGTTGATGTTCCTTTCCCAAACTCAATGAGTTTTGTTTGGTTTTATGTTTGACTTTTGCTGATTTCAGGATCTTGAAAATTTTTCTTTGCTTATTGAAATATTATATCAAAATGTTTAAACTCCCCCCCCCCTTTGATTCCTCAAGTTGGAAAGAAAAATAGAAATAGGAAAGCAGAATCAAGTACTTAGAAAGTCTCCTTTGACCTTGCTTTCCCTAGTGGGAAGATAAAGCTCATCCTCTGACAACTTTAGTAATCTTACATAATATGTCCCAAAGACATCTTTATTAGAACACAGGATTCCCTACGGTGTTCACTTTCTAAAAACAAGTCCTGAATGTGAGCTTTTGTTTTGAGAATAGAACCTTTTTTTCTCCCTTATCTCGCTCTTTAAACTGGGTGAACAATAACGAACACCCAGTAATATAATCTGTCATGTAAACCAGGCTTCTGAAATATTAAGAGGAATGTCTTCCAGTTTCTGTCACTATCAAAGACTGTTATGATGAAAAATTTTGAAAAATTGCAAAATGCAAACCCTACTTCCTCTACCCTTCTCTAAACAGACTCATGTAAATAGAGTGAAGAAATTATTTCTGTGATGGCATTCTTTTCATAGAAGGCTTGACCGAAGATCCTCACATTTTCAAAACAGATCTGATTGTATTTCAGGTGGTTGGAAACTGATTTGGAGTAGGTTTAATATGGCCTTATTACAATTTGTTTCATGCTTGAGCGAGTCAGTATAATAGAGGTGTAAACGCGAAACAGTAATATAGAAGGGAAGTTTGCAAAGAGGATTTCAGAGAGGTACCCATTGAGTCTTAAAAAGGAAGTAGGGATAAACTTACAGGTCATAATTAAAATCTTTCTAGGGAAAATATAGTGTTCAGTAGTAAGAATAAAAACCACATTACTGAAATGTAGCCTGCGGCGTTCAGCCAAATGTGTTTTTATTCACTAGTATTTGTCATTAATTTTGCATAAAGTAGACTGAGCTCTTACTCTACTGATGTTGCCCTGCATGATGTCATTTGATACAATAAGGCCATCAAGTTGGTACCGTTAGTGATCTCATTTTACATTTGAGGGAGGTGAAAGTCAAAGAGGTTAGATAGCTTGCCTAAGTGTCAAAGCCAAGGTTTCAAAGTCAGGCCATCTGGCTCCCAGGCCTGTTCTGAGAAACGTACCACTACATTGCTTCTCTTTAGTGGAATAAGAATGAATTCCATGCCTTTGTCTTTTCTCCCCTAACTACACCAAAATACTTGCATTTCAGAATGTGACTTTCCACATGCGGATTTACTTTTAATAACATTTTCCAGCTCATGCAGTATGTTTCCTTTAAAAGTTGGGTATGAGGAGAAAAAACTTGGAAATTCATCCTTTTCTTGCATAGCAGAAAGGTGAGCCCAGGAACCTTTTAATTTACAAATGGAATTCCCAGTTTGGCCATTGCTAATTCAGTCAATATAGTCCATGGCTGGGCAAACTAAAACCATCGGACTAAATCTAGCCAAGGGCTAGTTTTTGTATAGCCCAGAAGCTAAGAATGGTTTTTACACATTTTTAAATGGTTGAAAAAATATCAAAATACAAGTCTTAATTTGTGACATCTGAAAATTATATGAAATTTGCCAAGAGTAACTCCTAATGTAACTGCGGACTTCGGGTGATGTGTCAATTTAGGTTCATTGATTGTAGCAAATGTAATCATTCTTGTTGGGATGTTGATAGTAGGGGAGGTTGTGCATGTGTGGGCGCAGAGTAGTACATGGGAAATCTCTGTGTCTTCTGCTCAATTTTGCTTGAATCTTAAAACTTCTGTAAAAATAAAGACTTTTAAAAAATATATACAGTTGAAATTCAAATTGTGTCAATAAATAAAGTTTTATTGGAACACAGCCACACCCATTTGTTTATATATTATTGATGGCTGTTCATACCCTACAGGGGTAAAGTTGAGTAGTTGAGACCAGATGGCCTGAAAAACCTAAAATATTTACTGTCTGAAAAAAGTTTGCCAACAATTCAAGCTATTGCATCTGGTATAGACTTAAGACACTGTTTGAGTGTGTTGCCTCTGGAGTCAGACATCCAGGGTTCCTAATCCTTCCTCTTCCACTTACTAGTTGTGAGGTTTTAACCAGTGCTTACCCTGGCTAGCCTCAGTTTACTCATCTTTTAAAATGGGATAATAATAGAACACTTATAGGACTATTGTAAGGATTAACCAAATACATGTTAGCAACAACTTGTTTTGATTTGGGGATTTTGCATTCCTTATATGGCCTTCCTTTTAGAATCTTGATCTATTTCTCCTAACTATTTGAAATCTGCTTTATTTATGTGAAGGATACATTTGTCTGCCCAGATGTCATTTCATTATCTACCAGGAGCTCTAACATGACTTGGTTATGTTCCTCGCTTCTATTTTAATACCCAGTTTCCTTCTTGATCAAAATTAGCTCCATAGTAGTAGTTATTCTATTACTTTCTCTGTCTTCTGAAATGAAAAGTTGTCGGCCTAGCAAGTCAAGAACCAATTTGTCTTTTCCAACACCAGATTTCTTGCTGACATATATGCATTTCCTTTCCAGAAAATATTTATTCAAATATTTTTGCCATTCCCTAATTCTTATAAAGTGACAACACATGCCATATTATTATCTAAGTTTATCTCACATGAAATCACTAACTGGCTTAGCAAAAAATGTAGGTGAGTCACTGTTCTGAGATTTTCAGATTCTTATTTGGTAGAAAAAAATGTTAACACTATTAACCAAGAAATTCTGGATAGACTGGAATTCCAAAGGCCAAAAGGTGCCCATTCATAAGCTACACAATTAGGTTCTGTCATTTTAATGGAAGGTATTTAGATTCAACTAACGTTTGTTGAACAGCTCTAATGTGCTTTATCTTTTCCTGAACTTATATCCTTTTCTCTCCACATTATCAGCTTTAGAGGTCAAGACCATGAGTCAGCTTTTGGACTTTTAAAGTTCTTCAATCCTACTATTTGGTCACTTTGGGCAAATAATTTCATTTTTCTGAGGCTTTCCCCCTCTATTTTGTAAAATAGTAATAATACTAGCTGCCTGCCTGAGCAGTTGTGGAAACCAAATAAGGTAATCCATGGAAATAATTCAGTGTGAGTGAGACACAATACTTTTCTTTCCTTCATTCCCTGTCAGTCCATAAAGTGCATTTGCAAGCAATTGCCACTTCAGCTCAATCCTGGAAAAATTAAAGGAATTCTCTTTCCACCTGCTGAAATTCAGGATCTCAGCTTATCAATGTCAGAGCCAAGGCCAGCTACATCCTTTACCTCATGTAGGCAGAAGAGCTGTGCAAGTGGCCCCTGTATTGCTGGGCTGTTGGCAATGTGTCCCTCGCAACTAGAAAAAGACTTCTTGGAAATTTATGCTGGGGGTGGGGAGAGTTCACAAACTGTTCTTTGCCTCCAGGCATCTTGTTTTTATTCACTACCAGTTTTTCAGAGCTTGTGTAAAATCTCACGAGTGGGGCCAGGCTATGGCGAGGCAAATGTAGTGTCCAGGGCCCAAAGTTTAAGGATGCACTGGCCCCCGGGGTTGTGCAAGATCTCAACATCAATAACGTTGTCTTCCCTGTCTGCTACATCATGAGAAAGTTTGGCCTTATTTTTTTTTTTTTTTACAAAGAAGCTATACTCACACAGAGGATGGGGGCAATTGTCTTAGTGGTGCAAGAGGGAGGGCTCCCAATGGGAAAGAAAAAGGCAGCTTTCCCCTGGCCGATTTTTATCAAACTCCCTTGAAATACGTGTCGGGGTTTAAATGCCCATTCTTCGCGGATTTATGACGCGGAGGAGGCCCCACCAAACGCTGTATCCACATGTCCAAAGCAAGGGCACTTTTCTTTTTGCCACCCCCACTCTTGGGCTTCCGAATCTGGGGCGATGTCTCCCCAGATTAAGTTATCCTAGCTCCTGCCCCCATCACTTCCCCTCTGCCCGTCCAGAGCCCAGTCGTTCAAAAATTGAATTTGGGGCAGGAGGGTGCGCTGGAACGCTACCATCCCTGGAGCCTGCGGCGGCGGCGGCGGGGGCGGCGGCGGCGGCGGAGAGGCGAGCTACTGGGCAGCGACTGTCGGCGCTGGTCGCTGCGCAAACACCTGGAAACCATGTCTGGGAATGCGACCCGGAGCCTGGGGAAAGGTGAGTCCTCTTGGCGGGGGTCCGCGGGCTGGAGACGCCGCGCGACTGGGGATGTTGGCTTCAGAGAAGGGGCTGCCCGGCCTTGGCCCACAGACGTGCGGGGCAGAGAGGGAATTGGAGGGCTCCGCGGCACAAAAGCCACGCGCAAAAGGGTCCTCTGTGGGATTCGGGGGGCAGAGCGCCTGGGATCCCGGGGAAGTGAGTGAACCCCCCCCCTCTCCACTAGGCTAACCAGCCTCTTCTTCCCCACGTGCTCCCAACCCCTGCCCTGCAGGAAGCTGCCCCCCAGGGCCCGTCCCAGAGGGCACCATCCGCCTCTACAGCATGAGGTTCTGCCCCTTCTCGCACAGGGTGCGCCTAGTCCTCAAGGCCAAAGGCATCAGGTGAGAAGCAGAGACATCAGGTGAGAAGCAGAGCCTAGGGCATCCTGAACAGGCCCAGTGCCCCACAGGCAGGGGGATGTTTAAAACCTGGGGCTCCCTGCTCAGGTTCTAGAAAGGGCTCCCTGTCCATTTCTTTTCCCAGGCAAAGTCAATCAATGGTTAGCAAAGCGCCGGTTGTTTAGCAGGCCCACCTGAAATGTAGAGCTCTTTTCTGAGTCGTGTCTGTGCATGAAACTTCTAGGTCAACACAGAGTAAACTGAATGATGGACTAGTGAACTGGCTCCCTCCCGTAATGTTTGTTTAGCAGCCTGAAATGTAGAGCTCTTTTCCGAGTCGTGTCTGTGCATGAAACTTCTAGGTCGACACAGAGTAAACTGAATGATGGACTAGTGAACTGGCTCCCTCCCGTAATGTTTGTTTAGCAAGGGCACAGCCAAGGCTACAAATTGGCAGCTTAGGAGCTGATGTAAATATTTCTTCAGGGCAGGGTTTCTCAACCTTGGCACTATTGACATTTTGGGACAGATAATTTTTTGTGGGGGAAGAGGGAGGGGCTCTCCTGTGCATCATTGGATATTTAGCAATATCCCTGGCTTCCACCCATTAGATGACAGTAGAATCCCCCTCCCTCCTCGACATGACCCCCCAGTTGTGACAACCAAAACATGTCTCCAAATATTGCCATAAGTCCCTTGGGAGGGGGGCAAAAGCACTCCTGGTCGAGACCCACTGCTTCAGGCTTTAACACAATCTCCTAGACTGAGCAAAAAATGTACACACTTGTTTCCTTTAATCTTTTTAAGCATATATGTGCCCCTCTGGTAACTTTACAGGCTTGACCCTCCAATAATAATAACAATTAAGAAGAATTAAAAAGTTATTGCATTCTTATGTACCAGGTACTATCCTAAATACTTTATATGTATTGACTTATTTGATCATTGCAATGATGCCAAGAGAAGGGTATAATTATTACTCCCCATTTTACAGTTAAGGACACTGAGCACAGAGAGGTTAAAGAATGTGGCCAAGGGCACCAGCTAGACTGTACAGTATGATGCCAGAATGTGTGCTCTTAACTGTTAACATTTATCATATTCTGTTGTAATCTGTTAATACCAGATTTGTGTTTTCGAGCTTTAAAATGTACTAAATTCTCTAATGCCATGATTAAGTGTGTGAGCCCTGAGACAGTTTGCCTGGCTGTGATCTGGGCTCTGCTACTTCTTAGCAGGTGGCATTGGGCATGAGGGTACTTCCTCCATCCTTATTGCTTCCTATGAGGTAAACCTACCTCATGGGGAATTCATGAGGAACAAACGAGGTAAGGCATAGAGACCACCTAATACATCTTACTGCTGGAATGAAGACAATGATGTTATGTATCTTATGCACAACTTAAACTTTAAGCAGCTAATTGCAAACTTTAATTTTATGAATCGATTGCTTCTGCTTTCAAGATGAGCATCTGCCTGCATACACCTCTCAGTTTTGTTCTGTCTTGTTTTCCCTTTGCTTTTTTGAGACATGAAATTATCAACATTAACCTGAGAAACAAGCCTGAATGGTACTATACAAAGCACCCTTTTGGCCATATTCCTGTCCTGGAGAACTGTCATCGTCAACTGATCTACGAATCTGTCATCGCTTGTGAGTACCTGGATGACGCTTATCCGGGAAGGAAGCTGTTTCCGTATGACCCTTATGAACGAGCTCGCCAAAAGATGTTATTGGAGCTGTTTTGCAAGGTATATTCAATATTAAAAAGCCACTTACACTCTATTTTACTTTTATGTCTTTCTTGAGCTTCAACCCATTTTAAAACCAAGTCATTGGTACAATTGTTTTGTTTTAATACCACATGAGCCTCAGTTGGATAACTGGCATGGGATTAGAGGAGGATATGACCATTGATATTAAAGGTTAAAGGCTTAACTGCTAGGTGCTTTTCCATTCCAACTAGCAGTCTTTGGAGGTATGGTTATGACATGGTAATAACCATGTGACTTGAAATAGGAATGTTGAAAGAACTGAAAACTGGTAATCCTGTAAAGGGAGTATTTCTCAGGCTTCAGGTAAAAAATATGGGAGTATGAAGAAAATTGTGCATGGAAGGGGACTGCCCTTTACGCAGGGTAAGATTGCCACCTGTCTAGGAAATGTGAAGAACAGAGAAAAGGGGGCAGCCATTGATAATGGGAGAAAAAGTGATAGAGAAATTTTAAGATGGTTCCCTTTGAAAAGAAATAAAAGTAACTCACTGATATTAATAGCTTATACTCATACTGACCACTTATGATGTGGCAAGCATTGCCCTAACTACTTTATAGAGGCTAACTCATTTAACCTTACAACTGTCCTTTGAAGTGGGTACTGTTATTGTACCCATTTTTCAGATGAGAACACTGAGGCTTAGAGAGGTTAAGTGTCCCGCCTAAGAATGTACAGCATGGAAGCAGCTGATCAAGTAAGGAGCACTGGAAAGCCCCTGTTAAAGCACCTTGTTCTCCCCGGGTGCTGTGACAAGTGGATTCCTGGAACCACAGATAAACTAGTGCTCTTCGCAGGGATCTGGGGAGTCTGTATGTGGTGTTGGCCTGTTATGTTGGAGTTTTAAAGCTTCACTGCATTTTTAGGTGGAGCAAGAACATGGAGTTCTCACGGAATTCTCCACTAAGAACCTGTGTCTCCTCTCATTAGGTTCCACACCTGACCAAGGAGTGTTTGGTAGCACTGAGATGCGGGAGAGAATGCGCTGATCTGAAGCGAGCCCTGCGTCAGGAACTCTGCAACCTG